CGATGCGGGACTCGATGCGGGACTCGATCCCGGGACTCCAGGATTATGACCTGAGCCGAAGGCAGTTGCTCAACCAACTGAGCCACCCAGGCGCCCCTGGTCCATCAGTTTTTGAGTGCCTTATCTGAGCAGCTTCAAATCTAGCATAGAACCCAAAACATATTCAGGATATAGTAACAATTTTCAGAAATCCTTGAGCAGATGGTCAAAGAAAAGCAATGTGGTCACCTAAAATGATGGCAGGCTTTGAAATAATGTTATGTACACTTCCAATATCATTTAAACTGTTTTGCAGTATATTTTTAAAAATTAAGTTTTCCTCATAGGGGAAGGGAAGGAAAAATAAAATAAGATGAAAATAGAGAGGGAGACAAACCGTAAGAGACTCTTAACTCTAGGAAACAAACTGAGGGTTGCTGGAGGGGAGGGGGGTCGGGGCGGTAACTGGGTGATGGGCATTAAGGAGGGCACGTGATGTGATGAGCACTGTTATATGCAACTGGTGAATCACTAAACTCTACCCCTGAAACTAATAATACACTATATGTTAACTAAATTGAATTTAAATTAAAAAAATTTTTAAATAAGTTTTCCAATTCATTTAAATAGCTTGTGTACCGGGCGCCTGGGTGGCTCAGTCGGTTAAGCGACTGGCTCAGGTCATGATCCTGGAGTCCCGGGATCGAGTCCCGCATCGGGCTCCCTGCTCAGCAGGGGGTCTGCTTCTCCCTCTAACCCTCTGACCCTCCTCCCTCTCATGCTCTCTGTCTCTCATTCTCTCTCTCGCAAATAAATAAATAAAAAAATAAATAAATAAATAGCTTGTGCACCAACTTTCATATGGATTTCATTGTGGCTGCATCCAACCTCTGAGCAGAACACCGTAACATTCCCCCTTCAGATCGGCATAAGAGCAAGCTGACTGCAGGGAAGATCATCCCCGCCATTGACACAACCACAGCAGCTGTAGTTGGCCTCGTGAGTCTGGAGCTAAACAAAGTGGTGCAGGAACACCGGCAGCTTGAATCTTACAAGAACAGCTTCATGAACGTGGCCCTGCCCTTCCTCAGCTTCTCTGAACCCCTTGCCCCACCCCGTCACCAGGTGGGGACATGCTTCTATGGACACCTTTGGTTTTGCCCATCAATGAGTGAGGCTGTATGTGGTGGGTAGGATGTGTGTCTGCATCTCTGTATGACTGTCTCATAGCAGGTGGCGCTTTGTATGCTTGGGTTCCTGTACCTTTTGTATACCGTTTGTCCATTCATCATACAGTTTTTTGAATTGTGCAAAGTATGGGTGTGACCGGGCATATTTGAGAATTAATGAGAAGGCCAGGATGGGAAGGTAAAGGAAGTGGAAGGTGAGTGAAGGAGATAACAGGATCGCCTTGCTGTGTAGACATATTGGTCAATATAAGAATATCAGTCGTTTGCACACAATGATATGGGGCCACAGGAGGGTTAGGACAAAAGAAGGTTGTGATTGATACGTCTTAAAAAGTCAAGTCGAGTGGTTGGGCTAGGATCATCTGGGTTAGCCTGCATTGCACTCCCCTGTGTTTTGTCCTACAGCACTATAACCAAGAGCGGAAGTTGTGGGATTGCTTTGATGTACGCGGCTACAGCCTAATGGTGAAGAGATGACTCTCAAACAGTTCCTTAACTACTTTAAGGTGAGCCTTTTCTACAGTCACTCCACCTAGGGGTGGTGGTTGTGCAGGTGATTCGTACTCTCCTTTTCTGTGACACTGTTGTCTGTCCTCCTTCCCACCCTCCTCCAGACAGAGCACAAATTAGAGATTACCATGCTGTCCCAAGGTGTATCCATGCTGTGCTCCTTTTTCATGCCAGCTACCAAACTCAGGGAATGGTTGGATCAGCCGTGAGTTGGCCGCTGGGCAGGCTGAGGAAGGCCCTGTGTGGGGTGGGAAGCCTTACTACTTAATGTTCATGGTTATCCCTATCTTCTTCACCTCCATGTATGTATCCTCTCTTGCTTTCTCCTCCCTGACCCTCTTCTCCCTCTTCCCAGGATGACAGAAATTGTGAGCCATGGGTCAAAGCAAAAGCTGGGCCACCATGTGCGGGCGCTGGTGCTTGAGCTGTGCTGCAATGATGAGGCTGGCGAGGATGCTGAGGTCCCCTGTGTACAATACACCATCCGCTGACTCTCCAGTCCCCAAACTGTTTAGTTTCAGATCCCTTCTAGTTGTGGCAAAACACGTGCCTAGCCAGGCACATAAGCTTTACATCCTTTTGAGAACCTTTTTTTTGTGGTTGCTTTCTACTGTTTAGAATTGGAATGGCTAATAAAGACTTATTAATGCAAAAAATAAATAAAATAAAATAAAATAAAATAGCTGGTGTAAACTTGACTCCAAAACTTTCCAAAGCTGAATGAAAAGGAAACAAAAGACCAATCTCACTCATGTGTATTGTCACAAAAAATATGAATAAAATGTTGACATGTTAAAATGAACACCATATTGGACTAATATTTTTCTAGGAACATGAGAATGATTTATCATCAGGAAAAAATCACTATTAAGATGAATTAATAGCTTGAAGGAGAAAAAAATGAAATCCTCTTAGTAGGTGTCAAAAGGAATTTGGAAAAATTCAAAATCCAAATTGGTGCAGCTACTATGGAAAACAGTATAGAGGGTCCTCAAAAAATTAAAAACAGAACTACCATATGGTCCAACAGTTCCACTTCTGGGTATTTATCCAAAGAAAGCAAAAACATGAACTTGAAAAGATATCTGCACCACTATGTTTATGCAGCATTACTTACAATAGCCTATGTGTCCATTGACAGATGAATGGATAAAGAAAATGTGGTGTGTGTGTGTGTGTATGAGTATTTTCCAGCCAAAAAGAGAAGGAAATCCTGCCATTTGTGAGAACATGGATGGACCCTGGGGTCTTTATGCTAAGTGGAATAAATCAGACAGAGAGACACAAATACCATTATGATCTCATTTATATGTAGAACCTAAAACAAACAAACAAAAAACAACCCAAAACCCTCTTACATACAGAGAACAGATCAGTGGTTGCCAGAGTGGAGGCAAAATGAGCAAAATGAGCAAAGGGAATAAAAAGGTACAAACTTCCAGTTATAAGATAAAGTAGTCCTGGGGATGTAATGTACAGCATGGTGACTCAAAAGGAAAAAAACTCAAAAATCAGAAACTTTCCCAGGCGGATTGGAGAAGATTGTTTCTATGCTTCCACCATATCCTAAAACTAAAAAGCAAGTGTTTTCTGAAGAGAATCAGATCGTCCATATGACTCCAAACCCAACATCATATTTAAGGAATAATGTGGTCCGTCTAGTCTAACCAAGTACAAGAACAATGAAGGGAAGAAATCAGACAGAGAGACACAAATACTGTTATGATCTCATTTATATGTAGAACCTAAAACAAAACAAAACAACCCCAAACCCTCTTACATATAGAGAACAGATCAGTGTTCTACACCTACCCTACAAAATTGGGTTAGGGGAGATGTTAATGATGTCAAGATAGAAATCCAAGAGAATCCACTAAAGAGCTTAGACTTCAGAAGTTCAACGTGATATGATGAGCACTGGGTGTTATACTCAACTAATGAATCATTGAACATTATATCAAAAACGATGATGTGCTATATATACCTTGGCTAATTGAATGTAAATAAAAAAATAATTTTTTTAAAAAGTTCAATGTTATCTCCTCTGGAACATGACCACCTGTTTCTAAAGAGTGCTACTTAATTGTCATGCAAAACTTCCCAGCTTGGATCTGCAAACCACCTTCAGATTTCTAAATTTGTTTGTTAGGGGGTATTAAGATTCTGTCTGTATTTTCACTCTTTGACCAAAAGATTATTAATAAAATCACAAACTCTAGCATGTTCTTTGTCTTAGAATTATGTGTCAAATGGTTTTGTTTCTGCCTTTGGGCCATAACAGAACTAGCAGGTCTATAGTTTGCTGAGCTATACATCAGCCCTTCTCCCCGCCCCCTACCCTCTCTACTCCCCCCATCACCCTTTCAGAGAAAAGCTCCCAGATTTGGAACCATAGGTTTCTGTTTCAGTGGAAAACAGAATTCCCTTGCCTCCCTAAGGACAGAGGGGCATGTCTTGGTCAACAAAAATGCAGAAATTTTTGTAGCCATGTGATTTATGAAATTGGGATTAGACAGAAAGATAAATGTAAATATTATAATGTAGGGATGTTTTCCCCTTTTTTCCCCTTCCTTTTCATTTCCTTGTTTTCTCTCTGAAGTGTAAATTCTAAGATTTTAGCCCTAAAGTTACTTTTAAGACAGTGCAAATATGTTGATTTCTCATTATGAATGGGGGAAGGGAAATTTGTTAATCAGGCAAAGGAGGGGAAGGGGAGAGACAGAAGTTAGGGCCGAATGTGAAGCTTTTTTTCGGTGAGGTTTGTGGCAAGTGGGCCCAACCATTACTTTGGTCGCTGAAAACAGAGGACGCATTCCTCTTCTCTGTCCATCCAGCCCTCCCCAGGGCTCAGGCACCTTACCCTGATCAATGCTAGCAGTCTGGGAAGCCCATCTACTGAAAGATCGCCTTATGCAAAGAATCCACATAATGTTGAGTCACTGAAATAGTTCGGTTTGCAGAGCATTAGACTGAGGCTTGAAGTTCCATGGTTAGATCTTGCATTTCACTGAAATTATTTTCTCATGGCCCTATTCCAAAAGTAATTGACTAAGGGCCCCCACTCCTTGCAGAAATAAATATTTTAGAGTGACAACATAAATTTTTCACGTTTTACCCAAGGGAAATTCAGGGCACTACCCCCAAAAATGGCAGAAGTGGGAAGGTCACTCTGACCTTCCTCCCACCCCTGAATTAGGTCATAAAACCACCAAGTGAGAGGCCCCTTCTCTATACTGAGAGGAAAGGAGCGTCCTTGTCTCAAGAAAACCAAGGGAAATCAAGAAGAATCCTAACAAACAGGCCTTGCTAAGCTTCACCCAATTTACTACACTTACCTCATAGTTTTTGACCTGCACTATTTTTCTGTGGCTGCCCACTCTTCATCAAACCCAGCATAAAAATACTCAGACTAAACCGTTTCTTATGGTCGTCATTTCCTCATGAAGGCGCCCACATCACGCAAAACTTTAATAAATTTGTATGCTTTCTTCCTGTTAATCTCTTTGTCCTTTTAATTTCTGGACACAGCCAGAGACCCAAAGAGGATCACTTTTTCCTCCCCTACACTGCCTTCCTAAAAGAGACAAAATATATTTTGTGTGTGTGTGTGCAGCCGTTTCTATAATCCACGAGTTACTACGCCGCGCCTTGCGCTCCTTCTGGGACACCCTCCGCGCCCCGGCGCATCTCTCCCTGGCCGGTGAGCCTGGACCCCAGCCCTCCACAGCAGGCACTCCAAAAATGCTAAGCCAAGGACTGGGCCAGAATGTGGGTTTTGCCTTAACCCCCAGGGAAGATACTGCTGGAGAAAACTGGGAGACATGGGAGACGTTGGCGAGAGAGACCCTCTCCGTGGGAGGGTGTGAGAGTGGAGGGGAGAATTCTGCTTTGACTTGGATTTGCTTCAAACAACTCGTCATTTTCAAGGGACCCAAACCATCGAGTTCGTGGACAGACGGGGGTTACTGCTTTACTTCTAGAGTTGGACGATTCACACCTCCCCTGTTCCACCCACTCCTGGTGGCTGTGAAGCTCTTTCCAAACCCCTGCTGCTCTGTGGACTAACCCGCAAACGAGCCAGGGGACACCGCCGCGTCGAGGACAGGGGACACTCCTTCTCCCCGGAGCTCACAGACGCGGAGTGGCCGGCCTTCCTCCGGGCTTGTGCGGCCTCCCGGGCCCTCAGCGTCCTCGAGGCCTCCAGGCAGCCCCGGGCTGGCCCCGGGCAGGTGGCAGCATCAGCCCCGCACCTGCGCCACCTCTCCGAGCATTCGTCAACGCCTCGGTGGTGCTCCCCTCCAGCAGCCAGCCTCCCCTCTCTGACGTGCAGCTGGGCGTCCCCGCGGGCTCTG